ATAGGAACTGTAGTGCTGTCTTTTGTTTTGGAAGATGTTGGCATTTATATTATTATTCTGCTCAGGAAGGAGCCTGTCTTTCTAAGCCTATTGGAGAATTGCAGTAATTTCTCACTGATTGCACACAGAATTGGCCCTCTCCTCAGTGTCATCACCAGCTGAGGAAAGGTCTAGTTTTTTGGTGACCCTAGCTACTTTATTCATTCATGTGTCCATTTATTCATACACTCACTGATATGGCAACCACTAACAATGCATCTTTAAATGATGTCTAATAAACCGCCTTTACAACATCCTCTTTATCAATATATAAAAATATCCATGAATTTGTAGAAAATAAAGTTTACAGTAACATGGGAAACTAAAACTGGTCAGATAAGATCTAGGAGTAAGTTCCTCTAACTTCCAGGCCTGAATGATTTGGATTAAGAAATATAAACCAGAAATGGGGGCTCATGCTTGTAATCTCAGCACTTTGGGAGGCCAAGGCAAGCGGATCACTTGAGGTTAGGAGTTTGAGAACGGCCTGGCCAATAGGGTGAAACCTTGTCTCTGCTAAACCACAAAAATCAGCTGGGAGTGGTAGTGGGTGCCTGTAATCCCAGCTACCTGGGAAGCTGAGGCACAATAATCCCTTGAACCTGGGAGACAGAGGTAGCAGTGAGCCAAGATCATGCCACTGCACTCCAGCCAGATTCCATCTTTAAAAAGTAAATAAACATAAAAATAAATGGTAATCTACAAAAACTTGCCCTCATGAAACAGAGAGTGGACTCAAAGATATTTGTCTTTTTTACTTTTCTTGATATGTGGAGTAAGATGTCCCTAGCCTTAAAACAAACAAACAAAAACTATTTTTTTGGAAAGATCATCTCAGGAATAGTGGATAAAAAGTGAGGGGAATCACAATGTGAGGAGATGGGGGAGGTAGTTTGGAGCAAAATGATGGTACACTATGCAATTATAAAAAGACCTTTTTAATATTTAGGTTCTTACAAGATAGCCAGGTAGGAGTGGAAATTAGACTGACATTGAAGAAATACATTCTAGCAATAGGACTCATTGATTTTTAGCTTCTTTTCCCTAGAATCTCAGGAAACTTAGCAACGAGACTGGGAGACAATCCTGTCTCTGAATAGTATTTGCACTGAGGAGGGTCTGTTTCAATCTAGGAAATTGGGCTAGCTGTGAATATCAAGTTACCTCTCAGCTCAGAGGGCTATTCCATCAGCTTGCAAATGTACATAATGAGCACAGCCAAATAAAACAGTATACCGTGTCCTTTTGTTATCAAATGGCAAATCAAAATAAACGGTTTAATAGCCTGTAATTGTCTCTTTATGAGTTTTGTAACTGAGTCACAGATTTGTGATAAATTCTCTATTCTAGATATGCTTTCCTAAATGCTGTATTTTGAAAGGCATTATTATTCAGAATTCACAATGAGTATCAGCCCTAACTCTGCTTTGTGTGGTCTTTAAGTCTTTGAATATATAAAGAAATAACTTACGGAGGTTTAAGATACCTCTTGATATTCAGGTTGATACTCTCTTTCCCTTAATATATGGCATTTTAAAATATACTTCATATAGGTTTTCTTTAATTTTTTGTTTTTCAAATAAAAAAACGAATACAGAGGTAAGGGTGCAGGGAGGGGGGGATGATGATGGCTTGAACCTTCCTTGGATCCACTTATAGAAAATTGAGAGCTCTCATTCTAAACGGAGCATTTGAGGACAGTTAGACCATGGGTCCATGTGCTATTCTACTTTTAATAAATAAGAATTTTTATGAATATATTGTTTGAGGGGCTAGTGTAACATGTTAGAGCATCTTTAAGAGGTAAGAGTGAAACAATGGTTCAATTTTCCCATAACAAAGCTCCCTGGTATTCCCTCTTTTACAAGAAAGTAAACTTAATACATAAAATTAATCTATTTTCATTATAGACTCTCATCGAATCTGCTAGGTGTGGTAGAAAGAACACAAGCTTTGCACGGAATGATCTGGATTTGTATCCAGGCTTTACTAATTATATCCCTGTGATATTGACTAATTCTGCTAACTTCTGTGAGCCTCATCAGTAAAATTAGAACAATGAGAGTTTTTAAAAAATTACTAAATACATTTACCTACATAATACACCTGGGAATAAATGCAATAAATGCTCAATAAAAGATTTTTCTTATCCTACTGCTTATCCCTTGTACACACACACACACACACACACACACACACACACACACGCAAAGGCTTATGGGGACAAGTTGATTACCACCTTAAGAATATTTTGCAAGGGTATTTACTTTTCTCCGTTTTTGTTCTATGGGCTTTGGAAAAGTAAGTAGCGTAACAGATTATTAGTCTTCACTAAATTAAAGTTTTACTTTACAGGCTCGTTTTCCGGAGAGGGTGATTTCATTGATACTAGTTGGTAGTATCATGGCATTCATATTTCTGATTCATCTGATTGTAAATTTACTTGGGCTCCTTGACAGACTACAATCTCAGTTTCCTTTGCAATTAGATGTTTTCATACACTAAATTCTCACCAATGAAATGCAAGGCCCCTCTCAATCCTGGTCCATAAAAGTTTCTCTTCTATAATCCTCTTTGCTCTTTTCCTATTTCAGCTGGCCACAATAAGACCTCTAGGGAAATCTTGCAAATTCAAAGCGAAAATGGCATCTTCAAATTACAAACTGAAAATGGCTCAAGGTCCTAGGACTCTAGGTCACTGAACACTGCTGGGAGGAGAATGGCCTAAGAATACCCACTACCTGAGCAAGAGACAGACATTCCTTGTATTAGGCTTACATTGCCTTAGTTAACACAAATATCTAGTACAGTACTTACTACACGGTAATGATTCCATAGTTGTTCTCCTTTTCCACAGGCAAAGGCATGTTTCAACACATGGTCTAAAACCTAGAAAGACTCTGAAAACAACTCCTGAAACTGCTGATCTGCAATTATACCTCTCTGATCTATTCTCCTGTTTACACGTGTATTGTAAGGTCTTTCAGGCTGAGTGACGGTGCCATGGATGCTGTGACGACCCCTGTGACCCGCACGTACACCTCTGGAGGGCCTTCTGGAATTAGAAAACCTGAAGTAACTGGAAGACCATGAAAAATGGAAGAACCATCTACCCCTGCGGCGCCTAACTAACCTAAGACATTCTTCTATTGTTTCTTGTTTCGGCCTCAACTGACAAGGCCATTAGACTTTGCAACTGACCTTGGTCAACCTCGTGATTCCAGACCCTATGACTCCCCTCCCAGCTTGCAGACCTATGACTTTTCTCAGCTTACAAAAAACTGCCCTAAACTGTAACTTCTGTAACTTTCTACTGCTTACCCCAAACCTATAAAACCAACTCCTATCTCACTGCCCTCCGCTGACTTTTTCATCCTGCCCACACTCAGGTGAATAAACAGCCATAGTGCTCACGCAAAGCCTGTTTTGGGCAGTCTGTTCATTCAGAGCATGCATTTTAACGTGTATTTCTTCCTATCACGATGGTAACCCCAGAGCAGCTTACAGACAGCCTTAATCATTGCTCTATCTTTATTGCTTTGCACTAGATGTATAATGTTTCCTGAATGAAGCAAAGGAAACTACTGAGCAGGCCAGACTGGAGCCAGACAGTAAGTACAGTTCAGGCAGGACAGACCAGGACACATGAAGCCTAGTGGTTACAATCGCAGGTTCTTTTAGTCAGAGCTCAAATTTTGTTATTAGTGTCCCCAGTCAACCCTTACTAGCTGAAGTTACTTAACCTCACTGATTTTAATTTCCCCAGATATAAACTGAGCAAAATAATAATACTCATAGAATTAGCTATTGCTATTATGTTTTTATTATTATTATTATCATGAGGAAGGGAATTCGTGGCTTTATTAAGCCACCAGAAAAGATATGTGTCTTCAAAATTTCCTGGAATGATAAGAATCTGTCTCTCATGGTCTCCAAAGGAGTATCATTGTTTGAAAAGATAAGGCTCTCCTGAAATCAAGTAGGGCATTGCTAAATAATTATTCACCCATAGCCCCAAACAGCTTTTGCTAATGTCACAGTGCCTCTTACGCATTTAGGAAACAACTTTGTTGTTGAAACTTTAATCAAACTCGTGCCTGGAACTTAAAAAAAAATTCAATTAAAATTTTTAAAAAGCAAGTAGAATAAGTGAGAGGCAGTTTTTTACTGAATCAGAAATGCAGAATAATAAAATAGGTATGTGATATCACCGCATGCTGCTGAATTAACATTGGCAATGCTTGCGTAATTTGACATCTAAATAAAGATATTGAATTTGGGAAAAAAGGTGATGTTTTGAAAGAGTGAACTATACGTTTAGGCAGCATAAGAATTGTTTAAATATCAACCTTACAAATCATTTAGAAAGTATTTAACATACAGAACAGTAGGAGATTGAAAAAAATAAATTGCTTAGATAAAGACAAACTAGGCTATTTTAAAAGAGTATAAATCCTTAGGGATAATGGACAATTCTGTAGGTATTACCTCTGCTTCTTAGTCTTTCATTTCTTTTTTCTTTTTTGAGACTGAATCTTGCTCTTTTGCCAGGCTGGAGTGCAGTGGCACAATCTTGGCTCACTGCAACCTCCGTCTCCCTGATTCAAGCACTTCTCCTGAGTAGCTGGGACTGCAGGCGTGTGCCACCATGCCCGGCTAATTTTTTGTATTTTAATAGAGACGGGGCCAGGCCGTTTCACCAGGGCCAGGATGGTCTCCATATCCTGGCCTCATGATCCGCCTGCCTCGGCCTCCCAAAGTGCTGGGATTACAGGCATGAGCCACTGCACCCGGCCTCATTTCTTTTTTTCTTTAAAAAAAAAAAAACAAAAAACTGGCAGATGCCAGTCAGCGTCCCTGGCGCGGCGGGCCATGGAGGCCCTGCGGCAGGCCCAGCAGGCTGTGCTCCGCCTGCTGCTGTGCCGGCCGCCAGACCCAAGCCGCGCACCTCGGAGGTGCTGATGCGGAGCCTGCTGCAGCAGCGCCTGCGCACTGGAACTCTTTCTGTGAGCCCTAGTGCCACCCGCAATGACCACTTCCGCCTCTCGCACTTCAACTGGCCAGTGCAGGGAGCCACCTACCACGTCCTGCACACTGGCTGCTTCCCCTTCATCAAGTACCACTGCTCCAAGGCGCCCTGGCAGGACCAGGCCGGGCAGAACCACTTCTTCACGGAGCTCAAGGTCATCAACCTCACTATTCCAACTTTATTATATGGACTTGGCTCCTGGTTATCTGCCAGTCACAGAGACTGTGCATACCAGTTATGGACCCACAACAGTTTATTTTCTCAGGAAGAACTACAAACTACTGTTCAACGAAGTAAGAGAGGACACAAACAGATGGAAAAACATTCCATGTTCATGGTTAGGAAGAATCAATATCATGAAAATGGCCATACGGCCCAAAGTAATTTACAAAATCAATGCTATCCCCATCAAGCTACTAATGACCTTCTTCACAGAACTGGAAAAAACTACCTTAAACTTCATATGGAACCAAAAGAGAGCCTACATAGCCAAGACAATTCTAAGCAAAAAGAACAAAGCTGGAAGCATCACACTACTGGACTTCAAACTATACTATAAGGCTACAGTAATCAAAACAGCATGGTACTGGTACCAAAACAGAGATATAGACCAATGGAACAGAACAGAGGCCTTGGAGGCAATACTACAAATCTGCAGCCATCCGATCTTTGACAAACATGACAAAAACAAGCAATGGGGAAAGGATTCTCTGTTTAATAAATGGTGTTTGGAAAACTGGCCAGCCACGTGCAGAAAGCAGAAACTGGACCCCTTCCTGACACCTTACACTAAAATTAACTCCAGATGGATTAAAGACTTAAACATAAGACCTGGCACCATAAAAACCCTAGAAGGAAATCTAGGCAAAACCATTCAGGACATAGGAGTAGGCAAGGACTTCATGAACAAAACACCAAAAGCATCGGCAACAAAAGCCAAAATAGACAAACAAGACCTAATCAAACTCCACAGCAAAAGAAACAATCATTAGAGTGAATTGACAACCAACAGAATGGTAAAAAATTTTGCAATCTACCCAACTGACAAAGGGCTAATACCCAGAATCTACAAAGAACTAAAACAGATTTACAAGAAAAAAAAAATAATCCCATTCAAAAGTGGGTGATGGATATGAACAGACACTTTACAAAAAAAGACATACATGAGGCCAACAAACATATGAAAAAATGCTCATCATCGCTGGTCATTAGAGAAATGCAAATCAAAACTACATTGAGGTACCATCTCACTCCAGTTAGAATGGTGATCATTAAAAAATTGGGAGACAACAGATTCTGGAAAGGATGTGGAGAAATAGGAACACTTTTACACTGTTGGTGGGAATGTAAATTAGTTCAACCATTGTGGAAGACAGTGTTGCGATTCCCCAAGGACCTGGAAATAGAAATTCCATTTAACCCAGCAATCCCATTACTGGGTATATATCGAAAGGATTATAAATCGTTCTACTATAAGGACACTTGCACACTAATGTTCATTGCAGCACTGTTTGCAACAGCAAAGACCTGGAACCAACCCAAATGTCCATCGATGATAGACTGGACAGGGAAAATGTAGCATATATACACCATGGAATACTATGCAGCCATAAAAAACGATGAGTTTGTGTCCTTTGTATGACATGAATGAACCTTGGAAACCATCATTCTCAGCAAACTGACACAAGAACAGAAAATCAAACACTGCATGTTCTCACTTAGGTGGGTGTTGAACAATGAGAACACATGGACACAGGGAGGGGAGCTTAACATGCTGGGGTCTATTGTGGGGAAAAAGGGGAGGGACAGCAGGGGGTGGGAAGGTGGGGAGAGATAGCATGGGGAGAAATGCCAGATATAGGTGATGGGGAGGAAGGCAGCAAATCCCACTGCCACGTGTGTACCTATGTAACCATCTTGCATGTTCATCACATGTACCCCAAAACCTAAATGCAATAAAAAAAAGATGAAGGTGCCATGTATTGAAAGTGTGCATCAAAGAGCATAAACACTAGTGAATTTTCTCTGTGTATATATGCAGTATTTATTTTTGACCCTTTAAAACACAACTTTTGCAAAAAAAAAATAAACCCAGAAGAATAAAGCTACTTAGTGTCATAGCTCTTATAGTTCCAATTTCCACCCAATGTGCACCCTTCTCTCTTTCTTTCTACAAAGTAGAAAAATGTTCACAATAAAAAAAAGTGATAGATGTCTGATTAATGAAAATTCTGTTCTATAGACAGGTAGAGGAGATAAAGGCATTTCAAGATTGTGGAATGTCAGAACTGGAGGAAACCTTTAGGCCAAACACAGGTGCATTCAAATCCCAGCTTTATCACACACAATTCATAGATTATTTACCTGAGTTTCCTCATTCCTGCTTTAGTTTTCTCATCTATGAAACTCAGATAATAATATATAACAGATTTGGTATGTAGAAGTATTCATAAGTAGTCTTGCTTTTTCACTCCAAAAGGCATTGCTTGCCCTTGCTCAAGGTCAAGCAGTAAATTAGTTGCAGAGGGAAGATGAAAACCCCAGTATCTCAAAGGCAATATCAGTGCTCTTTTCTCTTCACCAAGTTGCCTTCTTGTGCCACTATTTGTCAACTGGAACTCAAACTTTCTCTGGTTATTTCTCAGATGAGCTGTTCAACAATGACAGAGAGCCCCCAATATGTCCTAATCTTCTATGAATTCATTTATTAACAAGTAATTGTAAAGCATCTGTTATGTGTCAGACACTATTTTAATTACCGGGGATAGACCGGTGATCAGTGGAGACCAGCTGCCTGACCTTGCGGCCATGGCCTGTCCTGGGGAAGGAGTAGGAGGGGGATGACAGATAATAAATAATCAAGAAATATATCAAACAGTGATAAGTGCCAGATAGAGATTTAAAATAGGGTGCTTTGATAGAACGTGGTCTGGTGGTAGTATTAGATTGGATTATCAAGGAAGGCCTCTCTGGAGAGATAATATTTAATCTATATCTGCACTAAACGAGGAAGCCAGCTGTACAGAGGGAACTAGTGTGGAACCAGTATAGCAGTCAGGAGCTTTGCATGTTTAAGAAACAGAGGGAGGTCAGAGTCAAGGCTGCTGAAGCAGAGTGGACAGAGGGAGGGGGGTATCAGAGAAATATAGGGAGGTGGGTAGTTATCACACGTTATCATATGGGATTTCTAAACCACGGGAAGTACTCTGGATTTCATTCTAAGAACACACTGGAAGGTCTTAGCTGGAGAAAGTGTCATAATCAGATTTATTTATAGACGAGAGAGAGAGAAAGCCTGAAAATGAGATTTTAGGACAGGGAGAGGAAGAGGAGATACACAGAATAGATGATAGATAAGTAGACAGATACAGACAGATAGATGGATAGATAGATAAAAAGTAAATAGAAAGAAACATGGTATTTGACAATATCTTTCACTGGCCATGATTACTCCCAGTGTCAAATGAGAAGCCAGTTTTAGACATTGCTTCAACCAAACAAAGCAAAATAACAATAAATAAAAGCCTATACATAAATCCAATTCCAATAGGAGGACAAACAGGGCAAACTTTACTGAAGATAACATTCAGGCAGAGAAGTGGGAAGAAGTTACTTTGTGAAACACCAAGCAAAGTAACCTCAGAAATTCCATTTCAACATTGCTTTCTTCCAGCCCTCATCCTACACAGCTGCCTCATTTCTCCTGTTTCCCTCACCTCTCAGTGAAACTGAACAGCTTAACAGCTTAGCCTCAAACCAAGTCTTAATTTTTTTTCCCTTTCCCTTGTCCTCCTTCCCTTACCTCTAGTCTCATGATACAGCTTCGAGACAAACTGCCTATGTGTCACATTTCATCTTCAAATGTAGCCTTGAATGTGCTTGAACCTCCACTCCCTTTCTTTTCCCATACTATGCCCCCGTGTCTTATGCACCTTATTTACCTAGATACATGTTAAGCTCACACTCTACTCACTTATCTGTTCATAAATTTCCTTAGAAGCTTCAGGAACTGTATCCTGTTATGGACCAGATACTTCCAGACACAGTGGCGCTAGCTCCTTCACCAGATAAAACAATAATCCAGGACAAGCCATTGAAGTGCTTAGGCCACCTGACACCTCCTAACCCCTTGCATTCCAAACCCTTTCTTTAAAAACCCCTGCATTCCTTCCATAAATTGAAGAGTGGAAATTTTTGGAAAGAATTACATCTACTCTTCCCCCTTGCTACCATGAATAATAAAATATACCCTCTTTGGATTAACCTTAATCTTGTTACACTGGCTTCTTTTTCTAAGTGGCCAACAGCCAGATCCTTCTGCTTTTATGTCAGCACACGTCTATCCTGCCCCTTCTCACAGCACTGATGAAACACTCTCTTTTTCTCTCTGCTTGGAACCTCTCCTTAGGGACTTGTCTTCCTTTCATATGCAAATCAACTTAGCCCTAAATTAGATCCCAAATTGAGCCCCAACCATGTTCCACACACAAAGCAAAGTTTCTTCCTTGGAATCTCCTCCACATTAACAAGGGTAAAAATAGAACTGGTGAAGCTGGGGAAGTTATAACTGACTAGCAGTTAAATATAAGAAAAGGGCAGCAAATTCTCAAATATCAACTCATAAGCTTTGATGGAAGGCAGCATTTAAAGAAGGACCCCAAGATTTCTGCCCCCAACATAATCCCTTTTCCTTAAAAAGAATTTATGATTATGACAGGATGCCACATTATGTGGCAAAGGGTAAATAATTCTGTAGAAGTAATTAAGATTCCTAATCAGCCGACTTTGAGTTAATAAAAAAGAGATTATTCTGAGTGGGCCTAGTCTAATCAGGGGAACCCTATAAAAGGTACTATTTAGGCTTTGCTTAAAGGGAGAAATTTGAAGCAAAAGGTGTTGCTGCTGCCCTCAAGGAAGTGAAAAGAGGTCCTGCGAGAGGGACATGTGGCCAGAAACTAGGAACTGAGAGCAGCCCCAACTGACAGCAAGAAAATGGGTTCCTCAGTTCTACAAATTGAAGGAACTAATACTCACATGATCTTGGAAGAGAACTTCAAACTCCAGAAGTGAACACAGCCCCCTGTTAAACACCTTGTTTGTAGTCTAGTGAGACCCTGTGCAGAGAAATCAGCTTTAGTGTCTGTCTGGATTCCTGACCCATGGAGACTCTGAGACAATAAATATATGTTGTTTTAAATTACTCAGTGTGTGGTAATTTGTTATGCAAAAAGAGAAAACTAATGCAAACTGGGTAAAACATCCCTAGATCTACTATTAGTATTATCCTGTGGCTATTTTTATTTTTTCTGTGACCTCCCTTTCTCTGCTTCCTGCACAATATTTTTTTTCTTACTTTAGCATTTTTTATACTTACTCTTGCCTCGAGCAGTTTGTCCTCCTAATGTGCTACTGTGACAATTTTCTAATTTGCTTATCTAAGAGTCTTAGTCCATTTACAGAATACCTTAAACTGAATATCCAATAAACAACAGATTTATTTCTCACAGTTCTAAAGGCTGGGAGATCACGATGCCAAGATAATTAGTATCCGTTGAAGACCTGTTTCCTGGTTCGTAGACAACCTTCTTTTATCTGTGTCCTCACATGACGGAAGGAATGAGGGATCTCTCTGGATTCTCTTTTATAAGGGCACTAATCCCACTTAGGAGAGCTTCACCATCACCTAATTATCTCACAAAGGCCCCACATCCTATACCATCATCTTGGGGGTTAAGGTTTCAACATATGCATTTTGGAGAGACATAGCATTATAAAACATTTGCTCATTTTACAAAGATCTTGCTTTTCATCAAGATTTTTCTTCTCTCTTTTCTCTCTTTCAAAATCCTACTTATCCTTTTAAGTATGGTTTACAGGCCACTTGCACCATGAAGCCTCACCTGATGACATTTGTGACCATTCATTCCAAACTTTTTTGCCGCTTCCTTCTTGCATCCCCATGTTGCTTACAGCCTTGTTTTAAAGTGATTTGATTGTTGATTCCCATTCTCAACTGGACTGTAGTCTCTTTGATGACAGGGACCTCTAGCACCAAATACAGTGAATCTTCATTATTTGTTGTTTCCATATTTGCAATTTTTCTAATTGCTAAAGTTTATTTATAACTTTAAAAGTATGTCTGTGGTCCCAGTTACTGGGAAGGCTGAGGTGAGAGAATCACCTGAGCACAAGGACATTGAGGCTGAAGTCAGCTGTGATTTGCCACTGCACTCCAGCCTGGGCAAGTGAGACACTGCCTCAAAATAAAATAAAATAAGATAAAATAAAAGTTCAATATTCATGGCACTTTCACAGTCATTGACGAGCACGCACATATGCAAAGTGGCAAAAAATGTGAGTTGCCTGACATGCATACTCCCAGCTAAGGTGGAACACAGCAACGCTTTTCTTCTTGTTTCAGCTATCATTCTGGAAACAAGTTCCCTCTTTTAAGTCCATTTAGTGGGAATTTGTTTCATTTTGTGTGCTTTTTACTGGTGATTTTGCTGTCTAAAATGACCACCAGGTATTGTGCTAAAGTGCTATCTATTATTCCCATGCAAAAGAAGGCTGTGTTGCGGCTTATGGAGATGAAGCACATAACTGAGTATCCATACATATTATATAATCTTTATTCCAGCACGAATTTTAGTGCTGTTGCCAAGAACTTAATATGAAAGAATCAGTAATACATAAGAAAGTGTCTTTAAATGGAATTACACGGAAAATTAGGTTATACATTGATTTGCTGACAAATATCTTGTGACCAGATGCTCATAGGAACCAACCCTTGTAATTCCCCTAGGAACAATGATTCAGTGTTTGCTAATTCAGCATTTGTGGCAACTTTATAGAATATAACTACTGCAAACAAGAATCAACGATACTAAGTATATTTTGTCACTGTCTCCTAAGAATTCCTAAATGTGTCTCATTTTTTCATATTATTGCTTTATCTTTCCATTCATTC